GCGCAATTGCGTCTCACTGTCCAATACACGTGCCCGATTGGACGATTGAGAGTGGCCATCAACTAGCGGCCACTCTCAATTTGTCACCAACTAATCGTTGCTAGCAACGGCACTATATATATATATGTGTGTGTGTGGATTCAGGTGAGAATCTACCTTATTATATATTTAACCAGAGAACTTGTTTGGGCATGCTCTTGATGTTGCATCATCCAACCGTCCATATCATGTGAAGATTAATGCATAATTGTACCTAATATAAAACAAGCACGACCTCATGGTCACTATAGAATTGAAATTTAATTTCGTCATATATATGCCCAAGTGTGTTTTTTACCGTCCATCTTCGCTAAAAGACCGTACCATTTTGGATATTAACTCGGTGGGCAAAAGTGCATATTAATATATAATATGTATGTATTTATATGTACACACATATATATATGGACATATATAGATGTAGGAGGGTGATCTGAAAGGTGGTTTAAGATCGATGCATGTGGGTGCAGGGAACATCGTAGTCTATCTTGCTTGCTTCTTGGATTGTCTTAATGTAGTTGTTTCCTAACTCTTTCATGCACTCGTCCCACTGCTTCTCCTCATTTCGCTCTGGAATTGACAACCAGATGCTACTGGACCCCTCCCCTCATGCATGCTGTCATGCATATATACACATCTCTCTCTCTCTCTCTCTACATATACATACATATATCTTCTGTATCTCTCTCTCTCTTTCTTAATCATTTAGGTTAGAGAAGGGCCCACTGCTTTTGCAATTTCATGCTCGTGAACATCCTAGTGGACGGATGATCTGATCCCATGACCATTGGAATATTATTCTCTCTCCTTCAATCAATTCAAGACAACTATATACACAATATATATATATATATATATATATATATATATTAGTTCAAATTTGATCAGACCTTAACGTGCGGCCGGTGTAGTCATACCATTAGGTACATAAAAATGCACCAATAGTGTTAGAAAACGCACCACAATGAAATGCATCAATGCACTACAAAATGCACCATTAGGTACACATAAAACGCACAACACAGTGTTCGAAAACACATTAGGTGTGGGGATGCATTTTTTTTTTTTTGATGTATGGTGCGTTTTGTGGTGCATTGGTGCATTTCCTAAAATTATTGGTACGTTTTTACATATCTGATCTATTGGTGCAGACTCACCAGCCGTACGTTAAACCTAGCTACACTGGAACTTAGTCATATATATATATATATATATATATATATATATATATATATATGAGTTCAAATGAGGTAGGCTCTCACCATAAAAAAAAATGAAGACACATTTATACCCTCAATTTTAATTGAGTAGGATCTTATCATTACTTCATTTTTAAATTTACAATAATTATAAAAATGGTTGAATTCCTCCCTTAAAAATTTTAAATAATTATATACCTTCAATTTTAATTTTCTAGGATCTTATCATCACTAAATATTTAAATTTACAATAATTATAAATCAACTTAATTAGCTGCCAAGCACCTTGTGCTTAGATGACATGTCGTGACTTCTCTCATATGGGAGATCATGAGATTGAGCCTCAGTGAATAGGTTGAGAAAATATGTTTGAACAGATACTATAATGTAATAGAGTCAAAAAAAATGAACTTTAACTCTTAAAAGTTTTAAATAATTATAAAATTAATCTTTTTTTTATTTATTAAAACCTTAAACATTTATGAACTCTAATGTACTACTGAAATCGGTCATCACTTATATATAACCTAAGTACGGCCAGAAGACCAGTAACTTAATGTTGTATTATTTCAAAAGTTATCTGCCAAACTCGACTAGACTAGTTTCCACGAACTACACATGTATAGGAATAGGAATATTATGTATTTTATGTAATACATTATGTCTAATCATGATTCATGTATCATGGTACTTGTTGTCCCAAAGTGCCCACCTAGTTAACCGCTTCGTTGGACGATAATTTGGACTTTTTAGTGTATGTTTTTTGTACATAAAGAACCGTCCCTCGCAGTGATTCAACCCCACTCTACTTTAAAAAATAAGTCTTAAACTTATAGCTCTAATACAAATTGAATCATGTGTTTCATCTCAACTAAAAATTTAAATTGATGGTTGGATTATACATTTATATATATATATATATATATATATATATATATATATATATTATGCTCAACAGTATATATCTCTATGTACAAGAAGTTCATCCCAAATCAAAACTGGTGTCAAGTTATTGTGAACACTTCTTTACACAAAAAAACTCATCACAAACCTAAATGAGTAAACCCCTAGCTATATATGTTTATGAAACAATCGAATCCCATAAATAAATCTTAAGTGTGACTTTTTATATATTGAAGAAAACAAAAATAGCTACATGGTTAATTGATGGATCAATTCACACCAACATCGTAAGCGGAAAAAAAAAAAGAATTAAATACCCAGAGGCAAATCAAAGTTGTGAAGAACCCGATGTTATTCATGAGGCCAACTGCTCAAGTGTCATTCGCTAAAGGAAAATATTTTGTATTTTGATTTTAAACTCTCAACTTGTACTCTCTCTCATGATGAAAATAATCAATCCTGGTTTGTCACCTCAAAAAGTATAAATGAGGGAGTAAAATTTTGGAAGTCTATGTAGTAGAACTCTTTACTAAACACTACTACTACTATTGATACCTTATCATCATTCATCACATCAGAAAGTACAAGGAAAAAAGTAAAAATAAAGATTCTATGTAGAATAACTTCAAAAAGATATTAAAATACTTATTAATTTCAATCTATTGAGCTGTAAAAATTCATAGGTAAACTAAATATCTATTGATTTTATGGGTATGTCTACATATTTCCTATTTATAAATCTAATTTTTCATATTTATACATATTATTCCACATTTCTTAATTGATTCAACAAATCAAGAAGAAGAGGATAGAATTGGGAAGCTTTAGAGGGTATACATTTTTTTTAAAAAAAAATAAAATTATAAAATAATAGTAGTTATCATTATAATTTAGGCTAGGAATAATAATTACAATATTGAAGTGTTGAAATGTCAGAAATTTCTGCGGTGGTTATTGTTAGAAAAATGAGTCATAGCGATGATGAAATGAATGAAAAAGGAGAAAAAGGAATATTATATTATTGTGACAAAAAATAATTTTTAAAATCAAATCAATTCTTATTTGATTTCTTATATTATTATTTTTATTATTAATTTTATTTTTATCCAATATAACTTTTATTATAATTTTTATGTATAAATTCTTTTTTTTCTTTAATATTCAATTAAAGATAAACTCTACAAGCGAAAATATACTATAAGCAATTGTGCATACTAATATAAATATAAATATCTACGCAATGAACACCGGTCTAGCCTCTGTGGTTCATATTCAGTTGAATTACCATGATTTACATTCTCAAATGCTCTGTCGGGTCGGGGTGTGAGGGGCCCTTAGGGTTAGGGTTCAACCTTTGGAAGAATAAATATAAACGCCTAAAGGGAGTTCGATTCGATCACATTTTTCAAATACAAAAATATCACAATATCTTTTTTATAGTAGATATAATTGAATGTCAATCTTTAACGAGGACTTAATTATATCAATGGATAATATCAATAATTGCAATGTTGTCTTGAAAGGAGTAGTCAAGTAGATAAAGTATGACTTAGTACATAAAAATCACCCGTTCAATTCTTATTAATATCTTCTTAATTGCACAATGTTGATTACTTTTTTCAGTAATCAACCAAAAAATATACATAAAATGAAAGAGAGATCATAATAATTACACCTAAAAAAATAAAGTTAGAGGGGGGGGGGGGTGATGAGAATGGGACTTGGAAACTAAATAATCAATGACTCAATCATGTCACTGTAAATAGAGTGGGAAAAAAGTTGGAAGAAGGTCTATTGCACAATGATGCAAAATGTAGGAAAATCAACCAAATAATATAGAAATCAAGAATCTTTTTTATAACATTGTTGCTTTTTGGAGGGGGGGGGGGGGGGTGGAGTTACTTTATATAAGAAGAGGGTGGGGTCCTGGAGGAGGGTGAGAGGGGGGGGGGGGGGATGGGTGCTATCAAGCAAAAATTTGAACTTTGTGGAAAAGGTAAACAATACTAAAAATACAGAAAGAGAGATAGAGATTTTTTCATGGCTTGTGCTGGGAAGAGAACAAAACTACAGACGGAAAGTGCACGTCAGAGTTGGCCGTATGGTGTAGTCTTTGGGGTGCTGATAGGATTGGGAGTTGGGGGAGCTGGTCCCACCGGGCTAGTTGGACCGGTATTAAAACATACACAATTTATATACTGAATGATCAAAATTAACATTTTAAATATTCACAATTCAAATTGTGAATATTCAGTATGTAAATTGTATATTTTGGACACGAGCCCCCATTGTAAAGTGGATCCGAATCCATGGTATAACTGCTGGGGGAGGGGTTCATGGGTCATTCGGTATGACCATAACATATTAATTCGAATTTAACCTAAGTTGTGTATTCTCACGAAACTAATTTAGATTTGACTTGCATTATGTCTACATTGCTTGAATCTTACCTAGAAAAAGCTTAATCTATAGCTCTTTAACATGACACACTTCTAAAGTTTAGTTAATTATTACGGAGTATATTTTTTTTACATATGTTATTTCGTATCCCCACAAACTAATTCAAATTTGAGCAATCGCTATCCCGAGCAAACTAATTTAGATTTAAGCATCTGGTATCCTGACCTGGTACTAATCTGGATTTGACTCGAGTTGCATATATAAAGTTTGAATCTTAATTATTTAAAAATAAATAGTTATTAACTCTTTAACAAAGAATTAATACTTCTAAAAACAATATTCACAATACACTAATTATATGTCACAAGATAAATTATTGTTTAGAAACTGTGGGAGTGAGATATACGCAGAAGGATTACTCTTCACTTCTCATCCACATGTCTGTCTCTTTCTCTCTCTCTCTCTCTCCCACTCTCCCTACTTGTTATAAAACTTGGTCCAGTTTATTTGTTCTTATGTGCATGGATTTATTATAGGATTTTCTTGATTTTAGCAAGAATGGGTGTTGATGATTCTTGAAGGGGAGCACTGGGTTTTCCAGATTTAATTCAGTTTGAGGGTCATCTCTCTCTCTCTCTCTCTCTCTCTCTTTCTGAAAAACACTTTCAATTCTCCATTTTTCTTTCTCTCCTTTTAGCTTTTGCAAAAAACAAGAATTGTCTGTTGGGGTGCTGCCAAGGGAGAGAAGGAGCTAAGGCTGTAGAGGTGTTTTGGAGGTTCAAACAAGAAATTTCTGCCATTTATTTTACTCTCTCTCTCTCTCTTTCACTTTGTCCATTTTCTCATCACCTACTTGACCTTTTTCTAGGTTTGGGTTTGTCTTCAGATCTCAGTATATATCTTACTTAAACTAATGGTTTTTTTTTTTTTTTTTGGGAGGAAAGATCCCAACTTTTTGACTCCTAGGTGATAGATTATCAGAAATTGACAGATATCTGCTTTGCTGATAATGGTAGGCTTTAGCTTTGGAGGAAGATGATGATGAAAGGTCTGGTAATTCAGCAGCCACATTCAGCTTTGGATCAAGAAAACATGTCTAATCTCACTTCTACTGCCTCCGGTGAAGCTTCTGTTTCTGACACTAATGGCGGCATCTATCCCCACCAACAACAGGTCTTTGCTAACCCAAATCAGTCTCAACCAGTCAAGAAGAAGAGAAACCAACCAGGAAATCCAGGTTAATTAAGAGCTTAGAATTTCAATATAAAGATTAAACCAGTCAAGATTGTTCATAGCTGACTGGCTCAAATCAGGAGTCGAACTTGTAACCTTGTGATTGTTTTCTGATTTGGGTGTTTTAATTTGGATCAGACCCTGATGCAGAAGTGATAGCTTTGTCACCCAAGACTCTGATGGCAACCAACAGATTTGTGTGTGAAATTTGCAACAAAGGGTTTCAGAGGGACCAGAATCTGCAGCTTCACAGAAGGGGTCACAATCTGCCATGGAAGCTGAAGCAGAGAAGCAACAAGGAAGTGATAAGGAAGAAGGTGTATGTGTGCCCAGAGGCGAGCTGTGTCCACCATGAACCAGCCAGGGCCCTGGGTGACCTCACTGGGATCAAGAAACACTTTTGCAGAAAGCATGGGGAGAAGAAGTGGAAATGTGACAAGTGCTCAAAGAGATATGCAGTTCAATCTGACTGGAAAGCTCACTCCAAAACCTGTGGCACAAGAGAATACAGATGTGACTGTGGAACCCTTTTCTCCAGGTCTGTAAATCATTATATTCCAGTTCTTACAAACATACAATTAACCTTTTTATCATACTCACAAAGTCAGTTTAATCTGCATAGGTTGTAGAGTATGAGTAGATATGATGACTTTCTTCTTTCTTTCTCCCCTTTTTCACCTTTTCCTTTTCTTTTTGAATTTTAATCCCCCAGCTTTTTGGTTTTCTTGGGTATTAGTGCTTGTGTACGGGTAAATTCAGCCTTATGATTTTAACCGACAAAGAATTATAATGAGGTAAATTAGCAAGTTGTTCATAGTTGATTGGTTCAAGAAGACCAATAAGTTGCTTCGTTCAGAGTTAAACTTATAACTTTGTGATTATTAAGCAAACAGTCTGACTTTGTGTCAATTGTGAACATGAATGCATAGGCAAAACTACATGAATTTGTATATATTATGAATCTGCAGAATTTGTTGTATGTTTATATAATTCTGATGTTGATTTTCCACAAATTTTGGTTCAGGAGAGATAGTTTTATAACGCACAGAGCTTTCTGTGATGCATTAGCGGAAGAGAGTGCAAGAAGAGTGATGACTGGGAGTCAAATTCATCATCCCTCTCAGCCCGGTTGTTCATCGGCGTCCAATATAAATTTCCAGTTTCCGGCCTTTCAGCCACCGCAGGTTGGCAGCCATGGCGACCACTCTGCGTCGCCGGCGTTTCCTTCAGTGAAAAAGGAGCAGCAACATTATAACGGCATGGGGATTAGCGGCGGCGGCGGTTTCAATCTGAGGCCGGAAATCCCGCCGTGGTTAATCACCTGTCAGCCGTTGGTCGGAGCCACCCACGGCCCTCCGCCGCCGCTGTTCCACCCCGGCGGGTTGGATTTCCTCCACCACCATCATCAAGAATTCACGCAGGTGCAGAACCCAAACCCTAATAATAATCTTGGAGGTGGGCCCACGCTACCACCTTTCCACCCAACGGCGTCGTCTCCGCAAATCTCTGCCACTGCATTGCTGCAGAGAGCCGCTCAGATGGGCGCCACCGGCATTGGCAGCGGCACGGCCAGTTCAGCGGCCCCAGCCATGCTGATGATCGGGCCCCACACCGATCACGTGTCTGCCGATCAAGCCAAGAATTTGTCGTCACGTGAGGCTGTAGCTGGGGACGACGTTATCAGTTCCTCCGCCGCTGCAGCTCCGCCTCACGGCGGCTCTCTTCTTCACGACATCACCGCCGGCGCCACCTCGTTCTCATCCTCCACCACCGACCCTCACGGCTTTGACGCCTCCAGCTTCGAAGACCCCTTCGGCGGCATTAATGGCGCAAACGACGATATGACGAAGGATTTCCTGGGTCTAAGGCCTCTCTCTCATTCCGACATTTTTAACATTACTTCACTCGTTGACAACCCTGCCAGTGATCATCACCATCACCATCATCATCATCAACCTCAAGTTCAAAAGGCTTGGCCAAGCTAAACCCGAAACCCTAGCTAGTTTCATTTCAGTTACTCGTATGGTAGACGATAGGGCATTTCAAAGTTAATGACCTATCTATTCTTATATGTCTAATCTTTGCATAAGAAATAATTCAATTGTGATGATATCCCAATTATCATTTCATAAAGTTCGAACTTCTGTGGTGGGAGTTTAGATTCTTTGAGCAGAAAGAAAAACAAAACATTGACTTGGAAACTTGGTACACCAAGTTGGTCAACCTTCGACTCCTCAGCAAGCTGTCTATTAGTCAAGTTGGTCAAACCTTTTAACTCCGCTTGAAAACCTGTCTAGATAACCCCAACCAAGTTGGTTTTCGACCAAGTTGGTCAAACCCTCGACTCCGTTTGAACACTTGTCTAGATAGCCAAGTTGGTCAAACCTTTGACTCCGTTTGAACACTTCTCTAAGTAACCCCAACCAAGTTGGTTTGGAAACCAAGAAGGCCGTCTAGATAGCCAAGTTGGTCAAACCCTTGACTCCATTACATTTGTCTAGATATAACCTCAACCAAGTTGGTTTGGAAACCAAAGATTCTATGTTGGACTCTCCTCAGCAAGTTGTCTATCTGCTAAACTGATTTATCTCTTTGTGGTCATTTGTAAGGCAGCACATCCTAAAATTGAAACTTTGTCCTATTAGGGTTTGGAAGAGTCATATATATAATAACATATATAAAACTTGTCTTATTAGGGTTTGGAAGAGTCAGATACATGTATTAATGAAACTCGAGTTTGAAAGCAATATAGTAGAATTTTAACCACATTCATGATTGCAGTAAAGATGTGCAGTTACCATGCATGCATTATAATAAGGTAAACTTTTTTTCTCAGATACTTCATACATATATTTTTTGCCTAGCAAGCTAGGCATATTCATCATTAATGCTGATGAAGCTGCAAAGCTTTCATGGTACTATTCATTTAAGTGTGGGATGTGACGCACAGTTGTTTGTAATGCTTTCTTTCATACAATAATTGCACACTGTAGAAGCGAATCTCTTCTGCCAGTTAATCTGTACCCCATATATACATTCATACAAAATTAATCAAAACAGTTTGGACGTACTATACGTACTACTGCCTCAATATACACTCACATGTTAAAGAATGGTGACGATGAAAAGGACAGGATATACATACACTGCCCTGCTGCCCTGCCTTGCTGATGTAGTGTAGAAAAAACAGCATTGGATTCTTTTCTTGGGAGATTCTTGGGTGTTTGTATGTATGTGTGTAAGTATATATATATGTGATGACGAGGATGATGATCGGGATAAATATATAAATAATAAATTTGTAGTTTTTGGTCTCATCCCATTATGAGTGGGATGAATGTATAGTAGAATATGGGAAGCAAGAACAAGAAAGTATGGTGATATGGAGAGTATATAAAAAAACCAAAAGGGAATTGAAAGATGGTGTTTGAGACCTGAGGTGGGTGCAAGTGGCCTGGGAATCAATCCCGAGGAAGGTGGTTGTCCCTTCTTATCAACCCACATCATTATTCATCTTGACCTTTTCGGGTTCGCATTTTTTTATAATATTTGATACAATTATGTATGTTACATATGTACCTAATATATCTTCAACATATAATGTTTGATACAATGATGTATGTTATGTACCTAGTATATCTTCAATTCAACAGTAGTGTCGATTGTTGATCAATGGTGAAATTTGATAATATTTTATACAATAATGTATATGATATACTGAATATTATAAACAACGGTGCTAATTTAACATTTAATAATATATCACACTAACATTGATATTATTCAATACGATTATGTATATCATGATCGCCCTCATACATTGGTCTAGTGGATGTGAATTAAGTTGCTCCAGACGGTATGGTAGGGGTTCAGTCCCTGTTATAAATAAGGGAAAATTGTAAAAAATTACATTTATAATATGTCAATTATCAATGTCACCCCTGAATAATGAGTGGTGTAAATGTTGCCCCTCAATTATCAAAACGGTGCACATATAGCCCCTCCCGTAACAGACATGTAGTTCCCCGTTAGTGTAATGGACAGCGTTGGGGAACCACAGGTTCGTTATGGGAGGGGCTATATGTGCACCATTTTGATAATTGAGGGGTAACATTTACACCACTCATAATTCAGGGGTGACATTGATAACTAACATATTATAGAGGGACATTTTTTACAATTTTCCCTATAATTAATATTGTGAGATTGGATTTAAAATAATTTAATTTCCTTATACATAGAAATGTACAATTATTAGGTATTGAGTCAAAAACATACACCAAAAACAATGATCATACATATATGTCCTAGCGTATATATATTTTTGTTGTTATCCAAAACATCTCCACATCTTCACAAACGAACTTTTGTTGTACAGCCCAGAAATATATGCATGTTCCATGAAAACTCAACCTCAGAAATGACCAAATTCTTGTTCTATCTTTATATTATTATAATTAATAATTAATTGTTTTATTTATTTTTTGGTGAAGACCAAATTCTTGTTCTTTACTATAGGTTATTACCTACTTCTTATATGGCTACACACAAATCACATGCATGAATAATAATGAGTGGGTCATCCTCTAATTTCTACATAAAATTAAATACCAATAACTATTAATTAACAAATTACTCAAAAGTTATTAACCAAATCTTATTATTCAGATATCAAACACAATAACTCATGAAATTCTGATTGATTTTTGTTCGATCAAACATTTATTACGATATCAATTTTTTTTTTTTTTTTTATCGCTACTATCAGATAATGTGCATCGGGTAAAACTCACTCTTTATGTGTAATATAATAATTTGTCAACCACACAGGATAATTAAATCACACTAGGAAGACTTTACTCGGCGCGAGAGCTGATAAAAATCAAACTACACAAAAAAATTAAATCACACTAAGAAGACTCTGAGCATCAACTCAACCTAGAAGGTGTTAGCAACAATAAAATTTATGACCTTTAAGTACAAGAACCATGTTCTATTCAATCGATCATCCATTACGGGACACACAACTTTATTTCATTATATTTGTGTATTAGTCAATGTCACGTTTTGATGACAATATGCTAACTCTGTCTTTTAAGTTGACTACGTCTAGTAAGTTTTTTTTAATGACCGGTAATAAAAAAATGTCAGGAGAATATTTTATAATAAATAAATAAAATAGGGGGAAGATAAAGTTTCAAGTAATAGAAGTGATCGATTATGATATGTATTTTGATGTGGGGAGAGAATTGCATGTATATATCAAAATAATAGTGAATTTTTGTGTGGAGACAAGCTTGATTGAAAGTGACTTGTGAAGGCCCACTTTTGTGCTACAATATTCCAATTTGAATTAGTAACAAGCTAAGTATGTTTTAACTCCAAAAACAGTAACAACCCTAGCTAGCTACATAGCTTACTATGAAAATCACATTGAATTGTAGTCGTGTCATATCAATAATGCTTCTGTTCTTTAAGCAAGTTGACTATAACTTGAACACACCTAAACCCAACTTTTTCTTTTGGTAACGTTTAAGAGAAACACGGCATTATTATTTGAATATTTACACTGAATAAATTTTATTTTTGTGTAATAATTTACAAATCATGCAGGAGATGTAAATCTCATGAACTTTAGATACACAAGTCATGCCTCATCCACTCAATTAAGTTCGAACTATATTCGGACGAGGCCTTAAAATTACAATTTTAGTCACTCTGATAAACTGAATTAAGGTGTAATTTTTTTTTTTTTTGTTGGTCAAGCTATGCGGTGTCAGCCTGAGCAGACCCTAACTATAGGAGGTACCTTTAAGCTCGTACCATACTTAAACTAATTCTCATTCGCACCGGTCCGGTCCAACATATAGTTCTTCAATTATATAAAGTAGTTGTTTAGATTTGATCCTTTGAAAATTAAATTTGTCACCAATATATATACTATTTAGTAAATTTGATTGATTTGGTCACTTTTACAAGGACCAAATTAAATCGATCTTTTTCGCTCAAAAGATTGAATCTTCAACTCCAAGGCCCCCCACATTCCGGTCCAACAGAACATTTGGGAGGATGTAAATCACATTAACTCAATGACTTAGCAGACAGGGTTAAATGTCGGTACGCACAAGGATCTGTCCACTTTAAACATAATCCCCACACTGTCGCTACTCAAGTCAGAACATTAATCTTTTTCCTCAAATACTGCATACTGAACCAGTGAGCTAAGTCAGGCGAAATTAAATCAATCTACCTATATGGAAGGATTAAAAGTGAGATTTATTTACTCATTTTATTGGTGTTATTATGTAAAATTATGCATGAGCAATGATCTGACAGAGTTCTGGTGATCATCACATGAAGTAGTAGGATGATGTTGAGAAGAAAGAATTGAAGGAATCTTTGTCTCTGGTAGTGCAGTGTTAGGTCAGAGGAGTTGTGTGTGCAGTGCATAATGCAGATTGCAGCAGCTGAGGTGCATGGACTTTTTGCATTGAAAGTGGTGATTCAATGGAGAGTTGTTAGTACAAATACAAATTTATAAAAAGATTCCTCTGATCTGAACCCCTCCTTTGCCTTTCTTCATCTTACATCGTTGTCTGTCGCTTACACAAACACCTGGCCTGTTAATATGCATCATATCATTCATAGTACCCAACACATAGCACACAACTCACCACAGAGTTCGTGTGAGATCAAGCTCAGACATAAAAAAGTAAGAATTGATCTGATTCATTTACAGTGGTGAGTTAGTTTTATAAATATCGTAAATTTAAAAGTTTATATTAATTGTAAACTAGATCCTATACATATATTTTTACTACAATCATCAACCATTGATTAACTTTAATGGACTATTGTAATTCGTTCTCACGTTTTACAGGATGACAATATTCTCATTTGAACCCTTATAGGGGCACACTCATTCAGAACAAATTTCAGTTATATATATTTTTTTAGTGTACCTAGAGTTTCTACCGTCATACACAACGACTAATCTCGTCGCTGAGCTGTAGGCATATCTTTTGGGTGGAACAACCGACCTGTATATTTAAGGCTGCTCCATGCTCAAAGTCAATGATCGAATCTTTGACCCTTTGATTAATGATGAATGAGTCTCTTCCACCCAACCAGACCTTATGTTACAAATTTCAGCTATATGTAAATCTAGAAAAATCTAATAATGGATCTTATCCCAGCTTATATATGTATTGTATAAAGGAAAATTATGTGGTGTTGACGTGTTGTATACTAGTATGTAATGGTGTGAAAAATGTTTTTCTTTTTAAAAATTAAATAAAGCAAATTGTAAGCCGTAGAGAAAGCTGGTTTCCATATACTTTTTTCTCTTATCGCAAGAGGGTGGCGGGTCCTAATGTCTTTACAAAGCTAATCCATGCACGTGTGCATCCACACGAGCGCCATCCTGCAACCAAAATAAATACAAAAGAGCCTCGAAAGATGTGATTACATGAGTAAGCATAAATCTCATACTTAAACCTTAGTTTGATTATTATTAATATCTTCTTAATTAAACTTATGGCATATTGTATTGTAGTTTATATCTTCTGTGTGATTTATAAGCTATTACTCTCTCTCTCTTACACACACACATAAAAATATGAAATTCCATCTAAACAAATTTAAAATGTGTATAAATTATCAAAGAGCAGTGCTATAAATCTATCCTATATTTTCCCAAAAACTTTCACTCATGATGTGACATCATTTGATTGGTAGTTAAATTTATTTTTAAATTAGTGGTTTGGTATGGTCGTTAATTTATTAGCACCCAATGAATAAAAATTACATTATAAGAGAAAATTTTGAGAAAAAATTAGGAGAAGAAAAGAGCATTTTCGAAATTAATTATTAACAAATAATTGACCTTTTAAAATAAATAGGGCTATAATTTATAATTCTTTTCGGACTGAGACCAAGTTCACAACGGGCCGTTAACTTTGTCTGGGCTTGGGCTGCCTCCGCTCAATATTTACTAGTATGAATCAATCCTTCCTATTTCAAACGGATAGTTATGCTGTGCATCCGTATGCACCATGCATGGTGTATACGGATGTCAAAACGACATCGTTTTATTAAAAAATGTGCGTTTTTCCTTTAAAAAAATTCAGGTTCGATTCCCAGCAACAACATTATATTGTTTATTTATTCTGAAATTTTAGTTCATAGATTATGGAATTATAGTTCATTGATTATGGAATTATAGTTCATCGATTATGGAATTGTAGTTCATCGATTATGAAATTTTAGTTTATAGATTATGAAATTTTAGTTCATTCATTCTGAAATTTTTAGTTCATAGATTAGATTATGGAATTATAGTTCATCGATTATGAAATTTTAGTTCATATGTTGTTGCTGGAAATCGAACCTGATTTTTTTTTAAGGGGAGACGCGCATTTTATTAAAACGACGTCGTTTTTGCATCCGTATGCACCATAATGTTTGCATCTATGTCAAAAAATACATAATTTACATACTAAATGTTCACAATTACATACTGGCCCTGTTTGGTAAATGACTGTTAACTGTTAACTGATAGTTGTTTGATATAATTTCTTTTCTCAAAAAGTTAATAGAAAAAAATTGTTTGGAGTAACTTTTTAAATTTTAACATTTTGAAATTGCAAAAAACTAATTAACCAAACATTTATATTAATATTTTAACTAAATCAAACAATTAGTAGTTGTCAAATAAACTAAAATTGACCCATAAGATAATTTTTTACCAAACAGAGGCACTGTCTTCATAATTATGAATATTTAATATATAAATTGTGTATTTTGAATTCAGATTCATGGTATAAGTATTGCATACACACTTGTTTATGTATATTATATTATTAAAGAGTGCATTTCTGAATAAGATTCAACTAGGCAATTGCGGTCCGCATAAAATCCATATTAATTTCACGACACTGGAACTTTAACACATGAGCATTTATTATTATATTATTAAATAAAGTGTTAACGGAGACGATTTAATTAATTCAATTCATAAGGTAATCTTTTTTCCCCACTTATAACAGAAGTTATTAAAGCATGATTAAAAGGATAACGGTGCGTTGAGGACTACAAGTCTCTGAAATTATTGAATTGGTGCGAAGCCAAAGAAGTTGTTAACGAAAACATTACCGGACTTGTTGACTTCCTAATCACTACTCACTCTCCTTGGAGCAGAAATGGAGTTGAGCTGAATTCTGGAAGAAGCGCCACACTCCATGCGAACCGCGCTGAAGAAAACTGTTACTCCGAGCATCGGAGCTCCGGCGGCGCAGCTCAGACTTCGACCGGCAACAATGGCCAGAACACGCCGGCTCGGAACCACGATACTGATATTCCTGCTTTCTATATTCTCGTTTGGAGCTTTCACGCCAGTGTTTGCTCCGCTGCCTTCCATATCCTCTCCGTCTTCCCTATCTAAATCCGTGAGTGATGAGTCTCCTTCAAATTATGCGCGATTGAGATTGTTTTCCTTTGAAAGAGAAAATTTCCGGTTATGAAACTATACGTTGATATATTTTAAGAAATTTTGAGTGAATTGTTATGGAAATATGTGAAAGCGAGCTGTTGATTATATTTGACAGAGTGACGGCGACAGGAAATTTGAGATCGCGGATGATATGTTCTGGAAAGATGGAAGACCTTTCCGGATAATTGGAGGCGATGTGCATTACTTTCGGACTCTTCCTGAGGTATTTTTGGAGTCTTTAGGCATATGTATTGTGCTCCGTAAAGGGCTTCTAATCACAAGTGTCATCAAAGGAAGCTATTTTTGAAGAATATTTGAAATGAACAAATTCCAAGTTAATAATGATTGGAATGTTGAAATGGACTTTCTTGTCATTTCAGCCAACTACTTGAGGCTAGAGCTTAATTTGGGAGGCTATTTTGCATTTTTGTTTTCTTTCTGTTGTTTCTAACTTGTAATTGTGGTTTCAAGTTTTGATATTGTGACAATGGTTTCAGTACTGGGAAGATAGATTATTGAGAGCAAAGGCATTAGGATTGAATACAATTCAAACTTATGTTGCATGGAATTTACATGAACCAAGACCAGGCCAATTGACTTTTGAAGGAATCGCAGATATCTTTTCATTTTTGAGCCTTTGCCAGAAACTGGATTTACTAGTTATGCTTCGAATTGGACCATATATCTGTGGAGGTTAGCCACAGCACTTTATAATTAACTTTATTAGAGCTTGTTTACCTTTAATGGGATGAAATTGTTTTAACCTCTGTTGGAAATTGTGATTTGTAGTACACTTTACCACACAATAATGTACCACTATAAAATGTCTGTGACTAAGTTTCAACTGAAAGGCTGGTTATTTCTTTTCTTGTGGCAGAGTGGGATTTGGGAGGTTTTCCAGCTTGGTTGCTTGCTATAGAACCAGCCATTGGACTTCGATCATCGGACCCTGCTTTTACTAACTTGGTATGTTTTCCCAACACTGATTGTTCATCAATCTGCAAATTGAGATGTAGAACTGTTGGAGGGATTAATCATACCTTTTAGTGATTCTCTCTTTACTTTATCATGTAAATATGTTGATATATACATTACGAACTGGTACAGGTTGACAGATGGTGGGGAATATTACTTCCAAAAGTCACCCGTTTTCTTTACGAAAATGGAGGCCCTATTATAATGGTCCAGGTGAGTTGAAATCCATCTCTGAGCTTCAGTAGAACAATGCATTAAAATATGTATGGCAATCTAAAATGAAGCTCTGAAGCTAACCAAATAGCACTATACACATTTTGGGTGATATATAGCTCTTCTAAACTCTTATGTTTCATCTTGTACGATGCATACCCTGACCGGTGAAAGTTGGACAGATTGAAAATGAGTTTGGTTCATATGGAGATGACAAGGAATACCTTCATCATTTGGTGAAGTTAGCCAGAAAACACCTTGGAGATGATGTTGTCCTGTAAGTTACATCACACCCCTGCAAAAAAAAGAAAAGGGGAGAACTTTTCCTAGTGCATTAACAAACCAAGTTGTTCTTGTGGCTGGAGTCTTTAAATGTTTTGAAGTGTGTGTGTGTGTATTTGTATGTATACACTTTATAGATTTTCCATGCTCCCTTGTTTCTGCTATTAGTTGAAGTGTAGCTGAGATATTTATTCTTTCCAGTGTTTGATGTAACATTTTGTGCTGATCACAAAAAAGAATTTTGATTAAAATGGAGTTTGATTGTAATACTGTGTTAATCTGCAACTATTTCTTTTTTCCATTTAAAAATAAATAAAATCATGCATTAACTGCTTGCAGATACACTACAGATGGAGGTACCAGGGAAACTCTAGAGAAAGGAACTATTCCTGGAGGTGCCGTCTTTTCAGGTAAAGATTATAATACAACAACAAAAGAATTAAATGCTCTGGCCATTTTATTTTATTTTTAATCTCCCTCAAAATGGTTTGTGTTGGTCAATTTGCTATTTTCTTGAGAATTGGGCATGGAATAGGAAATTAAAATAATACTAATGTTTGCAACTTGGCTGATATAAAACTGCTTGAAAGAAACATATCTCTGAGCATCTAATTAGTTAACTTATATAATCATTTTGTGTTGTTATAACTATTGACATAAGCTTTTAAATTTTTTTTTTCTCAATTTTAGCTGTTGACTTCTCAACTGGAGATGATCCATGGCCAATATTTGAATTGCAGAAAGAGTTTAATGCACCCGGAAAGTCACCACCTCTTTCTAGGTCATTGTTTGATTGTACTTCTTCAAATACACACACACACACATATCAATAGCTTTAATCAATTGATTTTGCACTGCTTGGTTACTTCGGTATGTCAGTGAGTTCTATACTGGTTGGCTGACACACTGGGGAGAGACAGCTGCAAAGACTGATGCAGCTTTTACAGCAGCTTATCTGGAAAAGATTTTAGCAGGGAATGGATCTGTTGTCCTCTATGTGAGTTTTTAGTTGAAAATATGCTTGTTTGATATGATTATCAGCTAATGTAAGTTGATGTGAACTCTTTCCTCCAGATGGCACATGGTGGAACAAACTTCGGATTTTATAGTGGTGCAAACACTGGTTCAGATGAATCTGATTACAAACCTGATCTTACATCCTATGATTATGTGAGTATGGCTTTTGAAGATTTTCTTCATTATTATAATCATTAAGTTAATAGATAGTTATCTTGTTCAGGATGCACCTATCAAAGAATCTGGTGATGTGGACAATGCAAAGTACCAAGGTAATACCATTCAGTTTATGTGCATCTGGCTCCATGTTAGTTTGTGGCAAAGCACCAAGCTAGATGTTTTGTAAATGAACTGACATTTTGTTGCTTTCAGCTCTCCGAGAAGTGATTGCTAAATACAGTGCAACACCTCTCTCTTCAGTTCCTTCCAATAATGAAAAGAAAGCTTATGGAATTATTAAGTTACAGAAAACTCAATCATTGTTTGATGTAATTAACTTTAAAGATCTTGATGGTATGATAGCATCCGAAAACCCTTTGCCAATGGAGTCTTTGGGTCAGGTATACCAGATGGATTCTCCTCTTGCTTAGTGATTGATGTTTTATGGTTCTGACATAACATTACAGTGGCTCAAGGATATATTCTGTTACCTTGGATATTTTTTGTGTTCAGATGTTTGGATTTGCGTTATACGTATCCAATTTCACTGCAAAGGGCAATGGAAGTGTGTTGTCAATACCAAAGGTAAGCCCTTTTAATAGTATACAAGATTACTTATTTAATCCTCATTATATGAGTTGTGAAGTGATGTCTCTCTCAAATGTTCCTGTCCTATTTACTGTGTTACTAAGAGGATAACTATGCAAATTAGTTTGTTATTCATGTCCCATCACCATTGCCAGTGTTAAATTTTGTCCTGCAATCAAGAAGTTGATCTAAATGCATTGCTTTGAAATGCTCATTCTATAATTTGACAGGTGCATGACAGGGCACAGGTCTTTCTTTCATGTCCTTCAGACGGTAATGAAGAATGGCCAAGATATATAGGCACTATAACAAGATGGTCTAACATACCCATTGTCCTTCCTTTCACTAAATGTACTTCAAAGAAAAGATTGTCTATATTGGTATAGAACACTCCTCTCTGAGTCTCTTCCCCCTTTTATTTTTGAGTTCTGCTCTAACCATTTGATGGGATTAAGAATACAAGTATCAGATTATTATTTTTTAAAATCATCAATTGAGACCAATGATGGAGTTCATTCATTAAAGTTTAAAGATTAAATGGTTTGTTTAAAACATCTTTTATCCAACTTTCCCAGACAATTTCAGTATTTCTCCATAATGTGATACTCCGTAATATATAAATAATCACATTATAATGTATCCAGAGTTCATTTCAGGAGAGAATTGGTCTCTTACTTTCTTCTTTGGATCTTTTCCCTTTCTTTGAATCATTTCTGAAAGGCCATTGCAATTTCCTTTCTTTTAGTTGGTCCAAGCTCTTTCCTAATAATTGAATAACCTAATCTAATCATTTTCTTTTGTTTTTCTTCTTGATTTTCATATTTGTAGGTTGAAAATCTGGGGCGTTTAAATTACGGGCGATATATATTTGATCAGAAGGTGAATTTCATACTGGGTTGACTTCTCTCTGCTGATGATGCAACACCTTGTAATTTCCGTAAGGTCCTTAATGTGTCTTTACTTTGCAGGGTATATTGTCCTCTGTTTATATAGATGGAAGACCTTTGAATAAGTGGAGAATGTTGGCAGTTCCTCTCCATAACCTAGATGACGATCAACTGGTCAATTCTATTATTCCAAATTTACATGCCAACATCCTAAAAGCATCTGCAAGATCTGCACGCAAGAAATTGAAAAATAAAATAAGTAAGTTTGGGACTATCCAAAAAAAAAAAGTTAATATACATGTAGCAAACATGAAATTCTACTTCGTAGAAGATCTATGGAGTGCACTCTGCTGATTCAAACCCGTTGTTTCCTTCTTTTACAGAGCGTGATCCAGAACCAGCTTTCTACTCTGGTCAATTTACTGTCGACAATGTTAAAGACACATATATATCACTACGTGGCTGGAGTAAGGGTGTTACATTTATCAATGGCTTTAACATAGGACGATTTTGGCCGGTACTGTGAAATTTTAATTATACTTTTAGTTCAAGTGTGAGTTGATCTGGAGGTTGCTGTTCCTTAACATAAAAACCTCTCTTTTATTCTGTTTACAGTCATTTGGGCCACAGTGTAATCTTTATGTCCCTGCTCCAATCCTTAAAGAGGGGGAAAACCTTGTGGTATGCCATCCATAAGTTTAAAATCCTCTTTTTTTCTCTCTCATATTCTAAGAGTTAAAACTCGATAGAACATAATATTTCTTAAAAGCTTCTCTCACGCAGTTTACACTTGATCTCCCTTTACTACAGGCAATTCTTGAGTTGGAATCAGCAAACCCTGATCTTTCAGTGACATCTGTTGAGCAGCCTGACTTTACCTGTGGACCCTCAAGTTCATATGTGCATCAACTCTGACAAAAGCATGGATGCTCTCACCAGCTTGTCACCACTACAAACTTACTATCCAGGTTGGTTTTTATAGGGGATGAGGGTTTGTGGGGTAAACAGTTGAAACTTGAGTTTAAATTGTTTTAATGCTCCAGAAGAGGCAAAACAAACTATACAATTCAGAGTGCCAATGGTCTGTGCATGTAAAGAATAAAAAGTGGGGAAATTTTCTCAAGGATTTGGTGTATTACAAAGTCTTACATGCCCAAGCTTTATGACAAATAACCAATTTTATCCTCGCATGGTATAACATCTCTTCCTACTTGGCGTTGCCTTGTCAAACAATTCAACTAGCAACTGCCACTAAGCCTAAAACTTTTATTTCAAGACATTTAACAGAATAAACAATGAGACGTTATTTTGGCAACTGTTTAGAAGCCTCCTGTGGTTCTTGCTTGGATCCTGAAACGGCTGCAGATGCCGCAGCTGTCACTGCAGCCGCCGCTGCACCTAGCTTCACCCCTCCTGCGGCCTTCATGGCACCGCCAATTTTTGCAAACGCGGCTATCCCTCCCACAAGTATGGCTCTCAAAGCAACTGTTGGTTTTACTGACATTTTTGCTAACCTGAAATTCCAGGCACTATATCAACTCAAAAGCTAAACATCATATAGAAAGAAAGACTATAAAGATTTAACTATATTAAACCATAATAACTGAAAAGTCCCTACTTTTCCGAATAGAACACAAAAATGTTTTCTTCCTAAGTGGAAGGGAGAATAAGACCCAAATTCGACCTGAAGAGTGTTCGACAAGAATCAAACTTGTGATATTCCATCTACCCTCTTTAGAGGCCTACTTATATTGTCATATCAAGCTACCTTCCTCAATCCTCTAACGTACAAATTAGGGCAAATGCTTCCAAATGAGAGACACAATCTAAAACGTGCGCAAAATAATTCAACTTTGCAATTAAAAAATAAAAATAAAAATCAACCGGCAGGTAAAGCGCCGAGCTTCATTACTGCCTTCAGGTAAAACCGCAGGCTAAGGCTTCATCACGCCGCTTCTCCCCGCCATTATTAAGCGATTTCCGATTGCTTGCTTCGCTTTTGTCGCTATAAGCAAACGACAAAACTATAGCTTCTAAAAATTCAGTTTTTTTTTTTTTTAATTAATTAATGCAAAGTATTCCAATTCCTTTTGCGATCTATAATTCTTAAATACAGATTGCAATTTAGAAGCTCAACGGCGGTCGGCGGACCACCATCAACCACAATGGTGACTATATTCCCCGACGTTATCGAACTATAAATAAAATAACCGAAGCTCTAGCAATAAACTGGCCTGGTCAAATTTCGATTCCGAAATCGGTACGAAAAATGAATTTTGAAAAATAAAAACTGAACCTGAAGGTCTGATAGGAAAGCTGGATCTCTGCAGAAATGGCGCCCTTCTTTCTTCTTCTGACTACGAAAGACTCTGTGTAGAGAGGAGCGAGCGGGGAAGCGTCAAATGAAGGAACCCTCGTTTTGCGGAGACTCTTTCCAATATCCCAATTTTCTTTATTTTTATATTATTATGACATTTTATTTTAGTATTCGCAAATAAAAGTTATAAAACTAGTTTTTTTTTTTTTTTTTTTTTTTTTTTTTTTTAAGAAAGACTTAATTCATTAAATCATTAACGAGACAGCCTACCAAGAAAGTAGGGATATCAAACTACTCTACAATTAGACATAAAAATAGCCTCCCGAACAACAATATAGACGACACGATTTGCAGATTGCCTAACAAATCAGAATACGACATAGTTATTACAATGAAATAAAGTTTACATAATATAGTAATGGTAATTTTTTTTTATCATACAAAAAAAAAGCGTGATATACCAATAATTAATTAAAAAATAAAAATATTATCCGATCAACGTTTTGTTTCTTAATTGGACCAGTCCGATACAAATTAAAATTAATATGAGTATGATACGTTCTACGATTAAGACCTGCTCAGAATGCCGGACACCTCATGACTTGAAAAAAAAAAAAAAAAAACCAAAGAGAATAATTTTAGAAAATATGACGTTACATTGAACCGATTTTTCAATACAAGAACCGGACCGGGCAATTGATTGCTTTCTCCAAAGTCCAAATGATATTTTTTTTTTTCTTTCCATTTTTCCCAAATCTTCCCGATTGCCTTTCCCCAATCTCTCCTGTCTCTGGTTCTCCTGGACGCGCCGTCGAACACTCATCCACAACCCGCAAGGATACGTATAAAGTTCCATTATTTCTGTCCGACAAACGGCACAAAATCCGTCTCTCGCCCTTCAGGTACTTGCTTTTCTCATGGGGTATCTGAAATTTTGCTTGAGTTTTAACTATCTGAGCTTTGAAGTCCCAATCTTTAGCTCTCCATTTATGTTTTCCTTCTGGTATGTGTACTTTTATTGTATATTTTATAGTGCTATACTCCACAGCATTGTTTATGCGTGTGTGCTGGGCTCTTTCTCCAGGAAGAAGCTGAAACCTAACATTGGAATGTCACAGTACCGCCCAAAGTATTGGTTTGGAGAATATTTGGGGTAAAGCTCGGTTCTTGTTTTGTGTGTGAGTTTTTGATAATGGAGTCTAGTGTTGTGGCGGGGAGCAGTAATTTGGAGCCTCGGGATGATATGGAGTTTGATTCTCACGAGGCAGCCTATGAATTCTATAAAGAATATGCCAAATCTGTGGGATTTGGCACTGCCAAATTGAGTAGTCGGCGCTCTAGGGCGTCTAAAGAATTCATTGATGCTAAGTTTTCTTGCATAAGATATGGTAATAAACAGCAGTCTGATGATGCTATTAACCCTAGGCCTTCCCCCAAGATAGGATGTAAGGCTAGCATGCATGTGAAGAGAAGGCAGAATGGGAAGTGGTACATTCATAGTTTTGTGAAGGAGCACAATCATGACCTTTTGCCGGCTCAGGTGCATCTTTTTCGGAGCCACAGGAATGGTGATCCTCTCAAGAATGACCCCAAAATAAGGAGGAAAAAAGCTCTAGCTGCTGTGTCAAATCACTATGGTGGTACCTATCAGTTTTCTAGTTGTTTGGAGAATGTCTTTAGGAGTCAGCATGATAGGGGTCGTAATTTGGCTTTAGAAGAAGGAGATGCTCAGATGTTGCTCGAACTTTTTGTGCATATGCAGGAAGAGAATCCGGAATTCTTTTATGCCATAGACTTGAATGAGGAGCATCGGCTGAGGAATGTGTTCTGGGTTGATGCCAAAGGCATGAAGGATTATGCCAACTTCGGTGATGTGGTCTCGCTTGATATTTCATATTTCTCGAACAAGTATAAGATACCTTTGGTCTTCTTCGTTGGTGCAAACAATCACATTCAGCCAACATTACTCGGATGTGCATTGATTGTAGATGAATCGGTGCATACATTTCTTTGGTTGCTTCGAACATGGTGCTTGGCAATGGGTGGACGAGGCCCAAGGGTGTTGCTCACTGACCAAAATAATGCCATTAAAGCAGCCGTTTCAGCAGTTCTTCCCAACACTCATCACTACTTTAGTTTGTGGTGTATCTTGGAGAAGATCCCAAGGTATCTTGATTACCTTAGTTTATGGCATGATCCTTTCATCGCAAAATTCAGAAAATGCATACATATGTCATGGACTGAAGAACAGTTTGAAAAGAGGTGGTGGAAATTGCTTGACAGATTTAATCTTAGGGAAGATGAATGGATACAGTCATTGCATGAAGATCGCAAACGCTGGGTGCCTACTTTTATAAGGGACGTCTCTTTTGCTGGCTTATCTACTGCTTCAAGAGCTGAAAGTATGAATTCTTTATTGGATAAGTATATCAATGGTGAAACTTCTTTAAGAGAATTTATAGGAAAATATAAGCTAATCTTGGAGGACCGATATGAAGAGGAAGCCAAAGCAAACTTTGATGCATGGCATGAAACCGCTGAGTTGAAATCTCCATCTCCTTTTGAGAAACAGCTGTCTCTAATATATACACATGAAATATTTAAGAAATTTCAAGTTGAAGTATTGGGAGTAGCTGCATGTCATCTTAGAAAAGAAAAAGATGACACAACAATGACATATGCCGTTAAAGACATTGAAAATGATCAGGATTTCATGGTCGAATGGACTGAATCAAAGTCGGAAATATTCTGCTCATGCCATTTATTTGAATATAAAGGTTTTCTTTGTAGGCATGCTATTGTGGTTCTCCAAATGTCTGGGGTCTTCAGAATTCCAATTAAATATATCCTACAACGTTGGAGCAATATTGCTAAAAGCAGGCTTCCCATTAGTGAAAGATTGGATGAGGTACAAGCTAAGGTTCGTTGTTACAATGACCTTTGCAGGCGAGCCATAATATTAGGCGAAGAAGGGTCACTATCACAGGAGAGTTACAATATTGCAGTTAGCGCTATTAAAGAAGCTATCAGACAGTGTGCAACTGTGAATGGTCCTATCCAGACGGACTTAAGACCACCACCTGGCATGCCTGCGACCCTTGCAATCCAGGGTGTTGAAGAAGCAAATCACAGAAGCACAGCTGTAGCTAGAGAGCAGGTGTCTAATATTAAAGTGACACAAACAAGTAGGGGGTCAAAAAGAGTAGATTCTGGGAACGAAAAGGAAAGTAATGAAAGCTGTGCTAATAAAAAGGGGAAGGTAAGAAACATTATTCACATATATGCTCTTGTTACTATCTCTACAAAATAAATAAGTATACTAATTCGGTTCCTGTATACACTAGGTGCCTTTGGAACCAGAAGTCACAAATCTCGGGACACAAGGAGTCTTTCATCAAATGGTTTGTCCCATTTTAGACCCCCATTTATATATTCATATTCTATAAATATCTTACCAAGGTTTCATTGAGTAGGATATGCCTGGTAGCCTGGATTATCCAACCTACTACCCAAGGTTTCTTACAACATTGCTGAGGGGTGGTGAGATTAATAAAAGGAATGTGGAATTGCTTGGTGAGATGTTGGAGGAACAGAGTTGAAGCATGCACAATCATGGATCTTGATAAATCAAGGTTTTAGGGCCTTTCCTCTCCAGAATAAAGAAGGTATTCCATTTACTTGTTCGTTGATGTAGTTCTGGCAATTATTTTAATTGGGTATGATAAATTTGCAGCTATGATGGATTGAAGCATAGTACTGAATCTCTTAGCATATGAAGCGAGGGCAGGACTTTCATTCATATATGATATGCTGTTTTGTTTTGTTTGCAGACAGAAGGAATCTGCAAGTAAATGGGGTCTAAGAGGAGAAATTGTTGCCAACTTGGGTACTGATTTCAGATTTTTTTTTTCCAACTGATGTTACTCGAGAACTAACTAATTTTTGTATAGAATGCTACTAAATCATACCCGAAGAACTTGTAGACTTGTCTTCCAGACAGTAGCCAGTAAGGGTTGGATCATTGATATTCTATTGACCCTACATCATTATCAGCAGCCAAGAATATGCTATTTTCTGCCATAGTTATGCAGATGCGACAGCCTACCAATCTAACTTTGCATTTGCATTGAAGTTGACGTTTTGAGAAATCTTTTGAACTCATTCTAAGCGCGATGAAGAGGTTCATCCTAAGTAGGTCTGCTGTCCTCCCCCGGAAGTTATTTGTATATGCATACAGATCGAGATTTGTTTGTTTGATGCATGTACATCTGCTGTGGTTTTGTTTTATATGCAAAACAGGTAAAGAAGAATGCTATGTTGTAAATGGAGCTGTGCAAAGCTCTTGACATTGTAATCTCTGTCTTGCCTATTGTTCTGTGAATTTGACTGATTACAGTTGTTAATGAATCAATTTACTCAGTAAACTTGTTTGGGGAAAAAAAAATTTCTTTTGGTTCTGTTCTATAGGAGTCTAGGATGGATGTTTGATCTTTTAGGGCTATTGCAATTTCTTCCAAGTTGTGTACCATAAAGGCAAAGAGTAATACTACTTTTTTGACAACCTAGGTTTTCGACTTTGTCGGATTATATTTTTATTTCTTATGAACTTGTCCTTCAGACTCATGAGGTGGTAAATTGGTCAATTTGACAAGAGTATCTGGGAGGGGGGCTCTTGTCACTTTGAGAGGTTGCTCTCACATTACTGTTGGTGAGACTTGATCTCAGATTATTATTCTCAAATTTTACTCTTGTGACCAACTGAGTTGTCTATACAGTTATATATATATATATATATATATATATATATATATATATATATATATATATATTATCAGCAAATAGGGGCACTCAACCACTCAAGTGATAGAGAGTGGTAGCAAAGCTGTGATGCACCTTGAATTGGCTCCAAGTCTCAATCTTGAGAGGTGAGAAGACCCAATTGTGCATTGTTTATAACTGCTTTGTTAAGCAAATTAAGCCTTTTAAATTCTTGTAATGCAAGATTATCACTTTCTTTATATTATTATTATTATTATTATTATTATTATTATTATTATTATTATTATTATTGGAGTATGAAAATGCCAAATATAATCGACAAGATAAAGTGACAGCAATTGAAAATGATAATGCAAGAAACTACTCTCTATAGAAACTAAAATTGGTTTGGCTTTATTACTTATTTGTCCACTTCTATGATGAGGAGAGGTGCTAAATAATATACTTTTAATCTTGGAATATAATTTAACCTTAACCAAATCATAAAAGAGTTCAGAGCTTCGTTCTACTAACCGACATAGCTAGGGTGCAGGGTTCAATATATGGCCCTATTGTAAATACCGTGTAGGCGTGTACAAGTGCTTTGGGGTTCAATCAAAATTTTTTTTCTTCATAAAACTACAATTACACGTACTACGCCTAATTTAGTTAATTTGAAAATAGATTACTAGAAAATAAACGAGCATTTAGGGGCTGATCCACAATGGGAGCAGTTGTCCCCTTCCCCTCATCCCATCCCCTTTATATATATTGTATGTATAGGCTTTATATAGATACACAGTAACATCGATAATTACTAAATATATATAAATTTAACCAAAGGATGAACTAGCTTAGATGGTAAAGCAGTATATGTTAGTCTTTTAGTTGTTATGGATAGAAGGTGCGAATGAGATGACGTGGTCTCTTTCAGTTTAATCAAAGATTTCATATTCAAGCTCTAGGATTACATTACAACTACCTTAAAACCCCATGAAAGCTTGAAAACCTCACCAGCTCACCTCACATTAACAAATTAGTCACTTGTAATCAGACATTTTCAAAAAAAAAAAAAGAAGTTAAATCTTTTACATATACAAAATTGACATTCAATTGTTCATAACTTTGAAAAAAACATATTGAAAGTGACAAGTTAGGTTGAAGCAATTAAGTAACTAGGATAGTTGCTAAAAGTTGAGGTGTAATGAAAAGCAGAAATGAAAAATGAGTTTACTAGGTTGGAATAATTGAATTGAGGAGTAGTGTATATATATAGAAACGTGGATCGGTGTTGCAAAGAATTGACCTTTGAGTGTACACACAATATACAACACAACCTTAGCTGTAGACATTAGAGAAAACCGATGTATCCAGCAAACATGTGACCACCCACCAAACTTGGTCGCTATTAGTTAGCAACTCTAAATCATTGACCATCTCCACATGCCCCAATCATTCATTCATCCATTCATACATACATGCATGCTACTACTCTCTCATCATCATTCCACCCTTTTTTTAAAATAAGTTTTGAGTTATTACCAGGTGGTCCGAGTATAGTGATTTTGCAACGTTTAGTTCTATACTTTCAAATTCACCATCCGTAGTTATTCAACTATCAAATTGTTACCATCTGTGGTCCAAGTTAACCACTCGTGGTCCTTCAACTATCAAATTTTAACCACCCATGCATGGTCCTTCCAGCCTTCCAGGAGGACCATGGTTGAAAGTTGAAGGGCTATGGTGGTTAACTTGGGACTACGGATAGTAACAATTTGGAAGTTTAGGACTAAACGTGGCAAAATTACTATACTCAAAGGACCCCAGATGATATTAACTCAAATAAATTTTAACTCCAAACTTAAGGATCCATTATCAGTCTTACCTTGAAAACGGATAGAAGAAAATCATTCGTGAAATATGCTTCAGCTGACATATATACAGCTCTAAACCCTGCATTCTCTGACGGCTGCTAACAATCGAAGCAAAATTTATATATAAACCTATTTTGAGTTAATTGATCAGTTAAATTGTGTCCTAAGACATCATTTTGTCCTCTTTCATATTACCATAACATGCATGATCAATTACAACCCCAAAATTAAACCTCCACACATTTGACTAGAATTTACTTCAAAAATCATGTATTACCCACTCAAATACTCTTTTGGACATGTTATTGTGTGGGGTTGAGACTTGAGCGTGGTGACAGCTCTACAACAATAGAATAGAACCACGTTTGGAAGTTTGATTGAAACACACCAACAAAACCGTGTTTCTTAATCGCATCAAAGGGGAAATCGCGGGGCCTTTGTTTTCAAGACCAACCACCTCAATGTTATTCCCTACGCCTTTCAAGACTCACCGACACACTTTCCAGTACTGATATCACCACCACAACAAAACTATGACTTTTGTTTCTTCTTATTCTAACCATAATTCTAGTTTATCCTATTTAAAACAACCTAGGTAAGCAAATCGCTAATATAACTAAGGTAAAAAATTTCCCTTTGCAGGTATTACCCAAACTGAATACTTTTGTTAGAGTTTGGATACCGAATACTATACTAACAAAATTAAGAGTTGAATCAGAAATGATCGATACAACTTCAATTAAATTGATCAAATCGTTACTCGGTAATTATAAGGTTTCAAATTTCATGAAAACATACTATGTATGTTCATATAAGTTGCTACCAAAAGGTGTGCAAACTATTATACTAGACCATAACATCGGGTTTTACTTAGTCACTCAAAAAACATATCGGAGATTTGGTAAATAACTGATAGTTGATTACATGCAAAATTACTTTCTTAAAAAGTTGAACAATTTTTTAAATTTTAACATTTTGAAACAATAACTTATTATAAAAGTTAATTAATCAAACATTCATTGATCAAGTTAAATTAAACAGTTAATAATTGTCAAATAAATCAAAATTTGATTGATAAGTTAACTATGATACCATACATAGTTACATACCCTGATCACATAAGTTGCTGCGTTGTAATTAATTACTAAAAATCCATTTTACCATAAAACTATAAAGAAAAACAATCAATAAAAGTATAATAAGCAAAACAAAAGAATATAATCAATCATGGTGTAAAATACGTACAAAACCCAAAATATAGTAATAAAAATCACACCTTTTTTGTTTTTTCCTACTGAATTAAAAAAAAAAAAAAAAAAAAAAAGTTTGATAATAAGATGATACTCATTAATCCTCTTGTTCAGAGAGTCCATTTCCAGATCTTGATTCGGAGATCAACCTTGCAGTCGACGTTGGAGGTTGTGGCTTTTGACGGCGACTTTCCTCCCGGAACGTTGACGTGGATGCCGTCGCAGGTGACTCTGATGCCGACTTTCTTGGTTTTCAGGCCACCGACCTTCACTTTCACCTTAGTCTCCAGTTTTAGCGTCAGTGGCAGAGTCTTCTTTGACTTCAGCTTTGAGATATCTCCGGCGTCGAGAGTTTGCTTTGAGGTGGAGATTGTTGTTTTCAGAGTGGTGGTGTTTTTGGTGCCGTGTTCGAACGCCGGAAAAGATCCGGTTCCGACGGGGATGTCGCCGGAGAAAGTGGAGATGGTGATGGGGTCGTAGAAATATGTGAGCTTTTTGTTGGGGTTCCGGGCGGAGACGGAGATGTTGAGTTTGGAGGTGAGGGTGGTGGAGGAGACGTTGAATTGGGAGAGGTGGAGAGAGTTGACGGCGAAATTGGGCTGTTCGGGGCGGTAGAGGAAGTAGAAAATAACGCCGGCGATGGCGGCGAGGATGACAACGGTGATGACGATGAACGTGGTCCAGAGGAAGCAACAACAGCAGCAGCCCCGCTTGTGGCGGCGGCGGGACGGTTGCGGGCGGTACACGGGGCGCGTGGCGTTGTAGAGTTGAGCTTTGTTGGCCGGAAACGATGGGTTTGCTCCACCGCCGGCGGCGGCTGCGGTGGCGCCGTTCGCCGCCGGCTTGGATGATGGATACACTCTATCAGCCATGTCTTCACTCCCGCAACCTCTTTGCTTTTCTTGAATTCTCTCCGTAGGGGTTTTTAATTTATCTATTGATGAATCGAGTAAACGGCGAAACTAGCGGCTGCCGGAAAAGATTGCGAGATGTGACGGAGGAAGGCGGCGGCGGCGAGGGGGAGAGAGGGAAAGTGAACCGACGGAATAGGTGAAAGAATATTTTGAAGTGGGAATGAGATGTAAGTTTATAAAAAGAAAAATAAATTAAATAAAGATTCCCACGCTTTAAATTAGCGAGTAACCCGTCAATCACAATTATTGCTTTTCATATTTGAAAAAATAAAAAATAAAAATTCATATTTTAAAAAGGAAAATATCATTTGTATTCTAAATCATAAGGAAATAACGTGTTCGTACTTTATTAAATATAACCTCCAAATCACATAGCCCCAAAAGATGTATGTGTTGGCAATAATTTAATTTTTAATTTTAAATATAATAATTATGTTTTTACTCAATTTAGCTATTCATTTTCGTGATTACTTGAAATTAGTAAAGATATATTTCGCGAACATTTGCTCAATTTAGTAGAGCCGTGCATGGAAGAAATATGCTATGAGTGATCGAATTGTCCTCATTGTGCGTTTACAAAGCACAATAGAGTGGTAGATTCGTGTTTTTTATAAATCACTTTTTAAATGTAACATTCAATTTAGACAAATGATGTAATATTTCATTTTTTTTGGTACTATTGACTCTGTTACAATGTAATATTTGTCTATACATACTTTCTCAATTTACTAAAACACAAAATAGTTAATATCAGTCATAATTATACCGCTTTACCACAAGGTTATGGCATAAATTTTTTTCTTTTAGTGCAAATCATATTAGTTTAACGCATGTTCATATGCCAACTGTCGTGCCACGTGGGACCTGAATCATTGTGCGAAAGAGAACATCAATTTTATGCATTTCCTTTTCTTCAATAATAAACTTATCAGATAATTAAATCAAAGAAATTATTAAAATATAGAAAGTTCTAGGGTATAGTTACGTGTTTTAAATTATAATTATTAAGGGACAAAATGATAAATAAATATTTATAAGTTTTTAAAATTTGGAACCACGTAGCAATTTAATTATTATCTTCAAATATGAATCTCACATGTCGATTAGATAAATCTTGATTGTCATATCATATCACGATTTCAGTTTATGTCAATACTTTTCGATAATGTAAATTTATTGTACAAGATTTTCCTATTATGATTTATATATCATGTATGATTTACCGGTTTTTACCAGAATTACAAGATCTTCCTTACGTGTTATTTGCCATGAGCCACAGCCCGAAACTTTATAATTTTACTTTTTACATTTACAAAAATTTAAGATAAAAAAGTAAAAAATTAACCTTTTTTTTTTTTTTTAATAATAATGTGTACTTTAGTTTTAAATTAAGCCAAAAGCCAATGGTATAGCAGAAACGTGGGACAAAGTTGGTAAGATAGATCACTTTATGTTGTTTATTCATCTTATTATATTTAAATTTTATTTTTTTCTTTGCAATTTGCAATAAAAATTAATTTTCAATATAAAATATAAGTCAAGCTGACTTAGCTTTGAAAAATGAAATAAAAACAAAAAATAGGAATTTTGTATATAAAACATCACTTGCTAATTGAATAATGTTGTATTCCCTGGTAACTTTATTATTTTATTTCATAATATTCACACATTATTCCAATATAATTTTTCGAGAGGAAAAATAATAATTTTTTCTATTGATTTATACTTATTTATGGCAGGTTTTCAAAAAAAAAAAAAATACTTATTTATGGCAAGTTATGATGTATAAAAACTCTCTAGAGTGAATGTTTACGTATTTGGGAAATGTTTCATTCAAATAAAATGTACAAAACATCCTATAATCATTTTCATAATCAAAACAAAATTTAAAAATGCATTTTATAAAAAGAAAGAAACTACTCGTTTAGTAAACAATTACTTTGTATATCTTGCATTGCAGATCCTGAATAGCAAATCTTTAGCAACTTGGCGTATAAGTAAATATGGCCAAGTTTGAATTAGCCTATCTTTTGCAAATTATACAATGGACCTTGATCTACCTTGCATTGTGAACCCTGATTCAAAAATAACCTTCAAATTTTGTACTTGCAGTTATCTGTTTCTGTACCTGTAAACAAATTGAAAGCACATCACGTGATAATTACAGACACATAACATGATAACTATAGACACATCAATTATTAACTGCAAGTACATAATATGTTAATTATATACATAACATGTTAACCAATATCTTATGTGTCTGCTGTTAACATATTTTGTACTTGTAATTAACAATTTATGTGTCTGTAGTTATCGTTTTATATGTATGTAATTATCATTTATGTGCTTTCAATTTATTTACAAATACATAAATTATTTATTATAAATACAAAATATTTTAACTGTAAATACATAATTTTTGAATCAAAGTTCATAATGCAATATGAATTCTGATTCGTGGTATAACAATTGTCTATCTTTTAGTGGGGCTTTTTTCTAACACATGCCCAATTTAGCTTTACTTCCCAATCTGACTATGGGCCGATATTATACCCAAAAATATAAGAGATACAATTGAATTGAATAACAGAAAATGCAGAGAAGCCCACGTGCCCATAAATAAATAAATTTCTTAAATATTTATTTATATAAAGTAAAATAGATTAGTGAATGCACTGCATTCAAAACAAAATAAAAATTAGTGAATGCACTGGTTAATATACAAACACACCTCCTAATTTGTTCTTTTCTTTTTGAAAGCAAAAAACGGCTGAAATAGATTCTGCAACCAAATTGAAACAAAGTCAAAGAGGGACAAAGTCACAGTACAAAGAGCTAACCTGCTAAGAGGCTTTAACAGAAAAAGTATGAACAACTAAATTAAATCGTCTAACAACTAAAAATAAAGAACAAGCGGGGAACGAGGTCATAGGACCTAAACAATCATCAATCACCACTCCAACATGAGATATAGGACGTGTGTAGAAACAGTAATATAACGATGCAAATTCGAGCAATCAGTGTGTAAGGCTACAGTAGTAATTCCATGATCTTTTAACCACGAGGGGCTTCTTTGCAAGCAAGGAATTCCTAATTTTTTTCTCCTATTTAAATTTAATACATGTTTTAAGCTTTTAATTATATATGATTTTTATATAACTACATATAATATTGTTAAAACCGAGAACGGAGAATCTCTTATCCCTAGTGAAATTCTGCGGAGATAGAAAATCTCACCTCTTGCATAACTTTTCATAGGTGTTAGATAGGAAAAATATATCATCTAAATATGAGGATGAAAACAAAGGTGAGAATCAAAATTGAGAGCAGAGAATATGCCTCACATATTTCTCGCTCCATAATTATCTCTATATATATTCAATATACCTTAAACTTTGTCATCAATAGCATTCATTTATCTATTACATCTTACAATTTTTGTTAAATTTATAAATGTATTTGAATTTAATGTGATTAGTTAATTAAGTGGACTTGAATTTGATTTGTACAAATCCCATTCAAGCTTTAAATATGCTTGACTGAAGTGATACCTAATAAATAAGTGAAAATGGGAGTAGAAAAGAGCCAAGATTTCACCGACACAAGAATGAGTGGGTAGAAGCAGGGGTAGGCAGTGGGCACCACCACATCCCTCAAAATCAACTACTTCTATTCTATATATTCACTGTGGGACCACCAATGAATTTTTTTTGTAGTATTTTTTTTTCTCCATATGCATAAAAAGATAAATCGTATCAATTTAATTTTATATTCAACATTAAACTGTTTCATCTACTAGATTAATATTTTAAGACTGTGGTAAACAATTTATGTAAAGGTTAGTATCATTCGATCACAAAATTTTAAATAATTTTATAAGATTTACATTGTATCAGGACAGATGTCAGTATCGGGGTAGAAATTAAGAAGTTATGAAAAGAAAAAATTGAAATTATATTAAATATAAAAAATACGGGTGTCAACATATTAGAAGTTCTCAAAAAAAAATAAAAATAAAAAATCAACATATTAGAATTTGGTATATGGAGTATATTTCATTTTCTTTCCAAAGACAAACAGTAGACAAGTTTATTCCCATGGCTGTCATAAACCTGAGCACTTGAGTTAAAAATATATTTTATTTTGTGGATCCCAAAATCCCATTTAATGATAACTCACATAAAGTTCATATATTATTAGTACTTCAGTTCAGTTTCACTTTGTAATAAGTATATAAATCATTTTATTATTATATTATAACAGTAAAAAGAAGGAGAAGTGAAGAAATGGAAACAAATATATAACTTTAGAGGTAATAATTATTTGGTCTTTATTATTAGTTGCTTTTTATCTTCAAGTAAAGCAGCAAAAAAGAAGTTGTACACTTTGCCTTTCTTGAAGATGTGTGACAAGTCACATACATTACTATATTTTAACCATAAAATTTAAAGATTACAGTGTGTTTAATGCTAACTCAACCAATTTAAAATAATTACAAAATTACAAATTCTACTTTCAGTGGGAATATTCTATTAACCTTATTGATTTGAGTCGATTAGCTGTGCATAAACTGAGTTATCTCTTTGTGGTCTTTTACCGAGATCATATGGATGTAAAAAAAGTTTCTAATTTTTGATGACTTGAAAATATCTTTTTTCCATTTCTTATTGTCACAAGGCGAAATTTATTTAGTTTACATTCTTGAATAATAGTTGTGAATGAATGTATGATGATCTCAGATTATCTAATAGGCTAAATTCTTCTAGCAGTATCTTGAGTTGATATGCCACTGATGAGTGGTAGATATATTGTAATGATTTGAAAATTGGAATTTTTGGGTCTTAATCTTGACATTAACTTCCAATAGAAAATCATGGCAAGCATATTCAACAGTGACAACTAACACCAAATCACAGTTCTTCTATATTAAAGAGAGAGAGAGAGAGAGAGAGAGAGAGAGAATGTGAGTTCTTATTTTCTTAATTCCACATTTCTCTCTCTTGTCCCCACAGGAAAGTTCTTACTTGTACTGGGCAGTCTGGGCTGGCTCAAAGTGTAACCTTTTGTGTCTCTGCATTGATTAAATCTAGAGATATTTTGCTCACCCATGTCAATGAAGAGCTAAGAAGTTGCAATTCTAGTATTCCAGTCCTTGAAATTTCAAGAAATGAAGAGGTTTTGGAGAGTGTGAAGTATTGGGGCATTTGTGATTTCCCACCACCTAACCCTGTTTCTACTTCTTCATTCTCCACCAACACAACCGCCTCCTCATTACTGGGGTGGTACCATTTGTGGCTCTCATTTCTTAAAGCCACACACACATGTTCAGGCTCACTACATTGTACAAATCCATAATGTCTTTATTTCATGTTTTTCTTCTTGTCTGTAATGGTGGGTTGACAGTCCAAGAATGATTCCTGGGATTTGATCTTTTGCTGTTGTTCTCTTTCTTCTTTCTGGGGGAGATATGGTGGCACACCACAGATTCATGATGCTCAAGTTTTGTTTGGTTCTCCTCACTGCTTTCTCAGTCCCAGAATCTGCAGCAGGTTATATATACTGTTGTTTACTTGTAATTTCCTTGAAATATTGCTTTAAAATCCCAGCCTTTTCTTGTTTCTTAGCTTGAATTTGGCAGTTTTTTGAGTAATTGGGAATATGGGATCCTGAATTTGAAAGCTTTTTCATTAGATTACATGATAATGGATTTACCATCTCTTTTACCCTAAACAGTTTACTACTAGTTAGTGCAGAACAATAATGCTATTTACTGAATTCACACTAGCCATTGCTGCAAATGTATGCCTAAACTTGATCCTTATTGGCAATTTGAATTCATTTTAGGAGCAATATTTCTTGGTATACATCTTATTTTAGCACTGAAATGTATTATCAGTAGTTTAAGGATCAACTCTGATATGGAGTACTTATCAGTAGTTTAAGCACATATTGCAGGCTTTGATTTGCTTTCTTGGAAAGTGGGTTCAGTATTTCACCACTTCAAAGAAGCGATAAATGAAGCTGGTTATCATGTGACTGGAGGATCACGCCTAGTACTCTTGCAAGATGGTAACTTTCTTCTTTACTTGATAGGCCTAATAAAAGTACGCTATTGAAAGGAATGGCAAAGTTCAATTCATTTTGCTGGCTCTCGAGACGTACTTTTACCTCAAATTCTTTTATGTCAAATGCAATTTTTGGTGCTTAATATTGGTAATGTGTTGTTGCAATAGCAGTACCAGCATCGTCTCCTACATCGATTCCTCCAATTGAAGGTATGCAGATAATTAAAGCTTCGCCATTAGAGTTAATAAAATAAAACCGAGATCTGCTAATATTGCTGATTTGTTATTCTGTAGGGCCCAGTGCACCTTCTAAACCAGCTTTCGTCCGCCATGGAAAGAATCAGATGGATGGTTCTGCAACTTTTCCTCCAGTTTCATCCCACGAAAGCCATCAAACGAGAAACAAATTGAACAGCTATGCTCCTGAGCCAAGCTGGCAAGGTTATCACTACTGTTGAGCATATAATATAACATAAACATAAATGTGCAATCCAACTACCAGCTTAAGCTTTTAGTTGAGATGGAGCACATGCTTTAATTTGGTATCAGAGCCATGTCAAAGGTCATGGGTCGAATCGACTACGGTCCACGTGTTGCTTGGAGCCCATCAAAAGTATCGGCCCGCACACGTGAGGGGGTGTGTTGAGCATATAATATAACATAAACAAATCCAACTACCAGTTAAGTTTTTAGTTGAGATGGAGCACATGCTTCAATTACAACACTCGAGTTGCATTAGGCAATACTGCAATATCTGACACTATGGCTTCACATTCTCTTATGATGCAGAGCATTGGCCTTCAATCTCCCCGTCTCAATCTCCTTCATCCCTGGATTGGGGTTCAGCAACAGCTCCATCAAGCCATTTCACAGGTATGTGGATATGTGTAGAATCTCCTCGATTCTTCATCATCGTTTCAATTTTTAACCAATCATTAATGTATTTTGATCATGTCTGTGTCTGCAACTCTGCAAGTGCCTGCACCACAGCCAGCTCCTTCTCCAACTAGTCCTTTGAGAATGAACGAGATAACTCCACCGCCATTCCCAGTTTTGGCATTACCACCTCCACCTCCTAATCAAGGTACATAGACATTCATCCTTTGGTTACATGGAGAACTCCATATTTTTCATATATCTCAGACTAAGGAATATACATATTTATACAAGAAACTATATATATACTACCTAAGGTAAGGATCAGAACCTAATCCCTAAGAATATACACATTAATCACTAATATCATACTAAATATATAACACTCTTAAGGGAAGAACTGAAACTTTCATTAATGTCAACTGTGATTTGGTTTTACTTGCAGATTGTGCACCATTGAGGTGTACAGAGCCTCTAACCTACATGCCTCCTGGATCCCCTTGTGGTTGTGTATTGCCTATTAAAGTTGCGCTCCGCTTTAGTATTACCCTATATGCATTTTTCCCATTGGTCTCCGAGCTTTCTAAGGAAATTGCTTCCAGCATTTCATTAAATCAAAGTCAAGTACACATTAAGGGAGCAAACACTGTCAATCAGCAGCTCGAGAAAACCATTGTACTCATAAACTTGGTACCTGCTGATGAAAAATTCAGTGCTTCTGCTGCATTTGCGATCTATGATAAGTTCTGGAAGAGGGAGGTTTCCTTGGAGAACTCTAAATTTGGTTCCTATGAAGTGGCTTATGTTCTCTATCCAGGTTGTTAACAATATTAAGTTTTTTTTTTTTTTTTTTTTCTTTTCTTAAAGAAGGGTTAATATATAGGTAGTTTATGGGTTCCATTGTTGCAGGGTTGCCACCATCTCCTCCTGCATTGCCCTCATCTGGGGTTTCTGTTGATGACCTCCCTTATCCTACCAACGACAATAATGGAAGGACAATAAAACCTTTAGGAGTAGATGTACCAAGGATCGGGAAGAATGGCATCGGGAAAAATATGATCATCGTGATTGTTCTGTCGTCCGTGACAGCTTTTGTTGTATGTATAGGAGTTATTTGGATTTTGTGGCTAAAATATGGGTGCTGTACTTATCGGCCTGTGCAAACCCCACATGTTTTGATATCTTCTCAGGGGAAAACATCAGGTACGGAACTCTGGCAGAAACATGAAAGTCATGATTAATTGAATATTGGAAACTGGATATCTTGACCTTTGGTCTGGCTCTGATACCAAATTAAAGCATGTGCTCCATCTCAACTAAAAGCCTAAGCTGATAGTTGAATTGCACATTAATGGTTATATGCTCAACAAGCATTTTCATTCTATCTTTTGTTTGAATAACTGAATAAAGCTTGAAACTTTATAACTGTGCATGTGGTATTTAACTTGAATCTTTGTTTTACTTCCTTAATTTGTACCGTTATTCCTAGCTTTTCATACGTTGTTGTCTTAAACTATGCAGGTGCTGCTGGATCTATGCTGTTTGGGAGTAAGACTGGCTCAAGATCGATCTCGTTCAGTTCTAGCCTTCGAGCCTATGCGGGAACTGCCAAGATTTTCAGCACGAGTGACATAGAGAGAGCCACTGACAATTTCAAAGCCTCGAGGATCCTTGGGGAAGGTGGTTTTGGGCTTGTGTATAGTGGCGTCCTTGATGATGGAAGGAAGGTTGCAGTGAAGATTTTAAAGAGAGACGATCGGCAGGGCAGCCGTGAGTTGTTGGCAGAAGTCGAGATGCTAAGCCGGCTACATCATAGAAATTTGGTCAAATTGATAGGCCTCTGCCCCGAGGAACATTGCCATTGCCTTGTCTATGAACTTGTTCCTAATGGGAGCGTCGAGTCCCATTTACATGGTCAGTACAAGTCTGGTAAACTCGTGCATTTGGGACTTTTGCAGTTAATGTCTATATCTATAGATTTTTATTTATTTTTTTAATCACAGGAGTCGATAAGGAGGCTTCTCCGCTTGATTGGTATGCTAGAATGAAGATTGCATTGGGTGCAGCTCGAGGATTGGCCTATTTGCACGAGGATTCAAGCCCCCGTGTAATACATAGAGACTTCAAGGCAAGCAATATTTTGCTGGAGCACGATTTTACCCCAAAGGTTTCGGATTTTGGATTGGCTAGAGCAGCAATGGATGAGGGAAACCGACATATCTCAACACACGTTATGGGAACTTTTGGGTATGCATTATTTCATCATTATAGAGAAGTAGTAAACAGATATATTGTCGATTTACATTCTTTAAAATTCTGGGAACACTTTTATCTTAATCATGTTCAATCGTCTCATTAAAGGTATGTTGCTCCTGAATATGCAATGACTGGTCATCTCCTCGTCAAGAGTGATGTCTATAGCTATGGTGTTGTTCTTCTCGAGCTTTTGACTGGGCGAAAGCCAGTGGATTTATCACAACCGGAAGGTCAAGAAAATCTGGTTGCCTGGGCTCGTCCCCTCCTCACAACCAAGGAAGGTTTAGAAATGCTGATTGACCCGACTATAAGTTCAGATATCCCATTCGATAGCTTTATCAAATTTGCAGCAATTGCATCCATGTGTGTTCAACCAGAAGTATCTCACCGCCCATTTATGGGCGAAGTTGTTCAAGCACTGAAGCTGATTTGCAACGAGTTTGATGAGACAAAAGAGCCCGTGTCAAGAAGTTGCAGCCACGAGGACTTCTCGGGTTATATAGGCAGTAAACATGGTAGACAGTCGGGCGATTTTGTGGAAGCTTCACAGTTTTATGATCCCACTTTCGCTGCTAAGGTATCGTTATCAGCATCGGATTTAAAGAGTGCATCAACTAGACTTGAATTAGCGGAATCTGAGTCTTTTAGGAGGCAGTTTAACTCTGCTCCTTTGAAAATGGGAAGAAAAAGGAATTTCTGGCAACGTTTGAGAAGTCTGTCTAGCGGGAGCATGAGTGAGCACAGTTTTTCATCAGTACTATGATGAAACTCGACTTCTATTCTGCCTATGATGTTTTCTTACATATATGAACTGTAGACATTAGACAAGTTGTGTTCTTGCCAGGTCAAACCGTTACTTCCATGACTTCTGTTCTGGCTATGATGTTTTCTTCATAGCTTTAGACAAGTTGTGTTCTTGAATCTTTTACCGGGCTTTGTTCTAGATCTTGTAAACAGTCAAAATAAATGAAAGTTTCGAACTTTTTTCTGCATGCCCTCACCATGTACTAATTGAATCAGTTCTTTGTATTTGAGTTCTGCAGAGATACAAATGCTACTACCATTTCATTGCAGGAGATTTCAAGAAAACGAGCAAACATTCTGGAGATAAAATACGTATGGACGAAGCAGCAGAATACTGTTTTATAGCAAGCAATACTCTACAGACTACATTGAACCAAGTTGCCAACAATTACAGTGACTAGAACCACCCGAACATGATGCCAGACAAAACGCGGGATGGGTAAAAAAAATGCTTAGTCTAACTGCGAGGTGATTTGTGTCTTTACACGCCAGCTTTGTTCCCTAATCTGTGTCGTAGTATCTTCACTCCCATGTATCTGCATCGAAATTGGTTGCATTTAATGTAATGATATATATGAAGTTATTAGCTTTTCTTCCTGTTAAAGATTGTGTGCATTATTATTCAGACTAACCTGCCCATCATCAGGAGTGTGGCTTGAGGATTGGTGCCGGGGGATTCAGTGAGGGTGGAGCCATCAACCACGCGGAGCCTGTGGGTGCCAAGAACCCGATAATCGGGCCCCACGACCTTGCCAACGTGGCAGCCACCGTGGTAGTGCCAAATTGTGATGACAGTGTCTTTGCAGAACTGTTCCAGGGACTGAGTGTCATTGGTGTGTCTGGGGATGAGGTTAACGTTAGCTTGGGCGCTGATATTGAGCAGCCTGTCGAGCGTTTCCTTGTCGCATTGCGTGAAGTTGGAGAAGCGTTTGGACTTCACGATCTTCTCGACGATCCGGATCCCATTCACGCATTTCTTCAGATCATCCGGGTGGCTGAAGTAGTTGAAGGTGATAGCAGGGTTGTCCTCCACATTGGTGTTCTTGAGCAGAATCTGGCCTCTCGATGAGGGGCTCGCGATCTTTTCCAGTATGAATCCTCCCCTGAATGCTTCATGGGGAAGATCCTTCTTGCTTTTCCTGAATGCTTCCACTGCTTCCTTTGTTCTCTTCTTAGGTGGAATGGTTGAAAGCTGCCCTATCTGCATCCAGACAGTTCTCAAGAATCAGCATTTCAAGAACACTAGCAGAAACACGGTAAGTATTGCTTAATCAAGCTAAACATAGCAGAACTGCAGAAACACGAGCATTGTTAAGTATTCCAAGATTCCTAAATCGAGAAATTTCGAGTACTACTGACTCTGTTACAATGTAGTATCTGTTCATAACTGTTGAGCATATAACCATTAATGTGCAATCCAACTATTAGCTTAGGCTTTTAGTTGAGATGGAGCACACGCTTCAATTTGGTATAGAGCCAGACCAAAGGTCATGGGTAACCATTAATGTGTTGGAGTATATTACTGACCTCAGCGGAGGCGATGCCATGATGGCAGTGAATGCTATCCTGGGACTGTCCAAACCCGCTGCTAGCTTCGATGTACACCCCCATCTTGGGAATTCCCACAGTCTCGATGAGCGAGGGAGGGACGTGTTGTTTCAAGGGGACGAAGATGGTGTTGAGAGGGTTATCAGACATCTCCTTCCCCACGTTTTCGTTGTCAAGAACCACAGGTATGTTCAGCTTCTGCAGTTCAGCTTTTGGTCCAATCCCACTGAGCATCAGAAGCTGAGGGCTCCCTATTGCTCCACATGACACTATAACTTCACTTCCCCTCTTTCTCGACAGAAATGCTTTGTGCTCATCCCCGTTTTCGTCTTTGAAGATGGCTCCCACAGCCCTCGGCTTCTTCCCCGATGATGTGTCGAACATGATTTTCTGCACTGTTGCATACACCAGAACCTCAAGATTTGCAGGGTTGGCTGATGACAGCAGCTCTGCAGCGGTGTGGCGCCGCCCGAACCTGTCGAAAATGGTGCCTCCAACTTTGGTTCCATAGATGTGGTCATATGTGAAGCCATTGAAAGGTGAAATCCCAACTTCTAGCAGCCCATCCCTGAATGCTTCTTGCCATGATGTCAACTCTGGCTTGTGAACTATCTGCTTCTCTACCCATGGGTAGGATTCATTCACCAGCTTTGCATCCCACCCTGCTTTCTTGATATAACTACAAAACCATAAACAAATATGTCATAGCGCTTTTAGTTCACACCGAAAACATTCTGATTTTGTATCAGAGCCGACTTAAACTAAAGGTCATGGGTTCAAACTGACTACCAACTATATATCAACCTGACTAGGTCATGGGTCTGAATTTCCATGACTACCAACTACGGAGTATCAATCAGGTCATGGATCTGAACATTCACGTACTATAACTACAAATTATCATCTAGGTTATAAGTTCGAACCTCCAAGACTACCAGGTTATCAATTTAAGGCCCTGTTTGGTAAAATAGTTAGTTTATAGGTCAATTTTAACTTATTTGACCATTATTAGTTGTTTGACTTGGTTTAAAAATCAATATAAGTGTTTGGTTAATTAGCTTTTTGTACTCCAAAATGCTAAAATTTAAAAAGCTACTCAAATCAACTTTTTCAATTAACTTTTTGAGAAAATAAATTATACCAAACAGTTATCAGCTAACAACTAATTTACCAAACACCTTTCTATAATCAGCTAATGTTATTAGGTAGTTATACCCTCTAATTAACACAATCAGCTTACAGCTAACAACCATTTACCGAACATGGTCTAAAGTGTACCACGATCTTGAATTATGCTAAATATGTACCTAGCATGCAAAAAAGGGAAAAAGTTATATATATAACTGAATTCTCATGTTGTGGCTGAGATGATAAGACATAAATGAGGCCTCGTGGGGGGTTGTTGGGGTGGTGTAATTGAGCAGTGGTGGGCCCAGTTACATATACATATGCATACATACATCAGATACACACACTGCACATACAATAACCACAAATATATGTACGTACTCCCCACTGATTCTCTACCCCTCACTTTGGGAGAAGAAAAGAAAAAGGCCAATAGGAACAGAAATTTGATACCACATGTCACACCAACAACATAGTACAACACAATTAATTGACAATAAAACTGTGGTAGCTATCCTCTTCTTAATTATTTAATTTAATATACACAGGAAAAGCAGGAGGAGAGCCATAAATATTCTGATTTCAACAAGTACATACTACCCAAGTAATTATCAACACCCCATAAATTCATCCAACCAATCACAGGTACTGGTGTTTTCCTGGGGGGCCTCTACTTACAAAAATATAACTTATTATCAAATTATGACCTGTTTGGTAACATAGTTAACTTATCAGACAATTTTAGATTATTTGATCACTATTAACTGTTTAACTTGGTTTAACATTCAATATAAGTGTTTGATTAATTAGCTTTTTGTAACAACTCATTTTTTCAAAATGCTAAATTTTAGATTATTTGATCACTATTAACTGTTTAACTTGGTTTAACATTCAATATAAGTGTTTGATCACTATAAATTTTGTAACAGCTCATTTTTTCAAAATGCTAAAATTCAAAAAGTTGTTAAAAATTTTTTTTTGAGCAACTTTTTGAGAAAATCATTTTGTATGTAATTAGCTATCAGCTAACAGTTAATTTATCAAATATCTGATATCAACTACTCAAACCCACTAACCTAATCAGCTAACCGTGTTACTTAATTTTTAACTATTTGACTCATGTCATGTATATGATGAGGACATGTATGTCCACAGGAAATGAATGAGAAATGTGATTGTGTAATACATATTGTTGTGACTTCCGTGAACAAATTAAATTAATTTTGATTGGATGCTATGTATATATCATGTATGTATACATTAGGGTTTGGTCACAAACAAAAAGGATTGATAGTTTTTTGCATGTCAAGTTGCATGGGAATTTAACCGTATCCCAACCAAGTTGATCGGACAATTGGTTGTTAATCCTAAGATTTCAAATTTGATTCCATACAAAATTGTCTATTGACATTTTCGATTAAAGTTAGTTACGTTGAACATATTTCACCTAAACTAAACCACGATTGTGGACTTTCACATAAGACGGATTGAACTAATAACAACTCCCCTTTACATGCACATGTGGTGTTAGAATTGAGAATGGAACGGACCACGATAATATGTATTCTTCAATGTTTTTTTTCTTTTTCTTTTTCCTCATAACCAAATAATGGACTCACATTTATGGTTGGAAGCCACCGTTCACCGTTCACCGACCAAACCCCAATACACCCCACCTTCCCCCGGCAACAAAAATAAAACAAGTAACTTAAAAAAAAAAAAAAAATTAGTGTCACGTTATCTTTCTTTTACTAATATACATAAATGAGATTTTAATTAGAATTAATTAATGGGTATGAAATTGTAATAAATAAAAAGAGTGAAGAAAATTCTTTAGCATATTAAAAAAAAAAAAAATAGTACTTTTGGTTCCTTTAATTGTGGTCCAGAGACTGTTGATCAGAATTAGATTATTAATGAAGTGGTGAATTTGATATGAGTTTTATTAAAACATTCAGAATTAAATATGATATTTTACTAAAAATTTAAAAACTTAAATTTACTACACAAATAATTGAATCATTACAAGAACTAAAAATGTCTCTTTTTTAAATTTTTTGGATAATATAATTTTTTAAGGATAAATTAGAAATATATATATGTAGATACCTTGGGCTAGCTCTAGTGTAGAAGCCGGCGTTGATGCAAGTCCCGCCGCCGAGAACTCTGGCCCGGGAATTGAAGACGCCGTCGGTGGAGACGAAGACCTGTGAGGCGGACGACGGCGAGGTGTCGGCCAAGGTGATGTGGAAGTTCTCCATGAACGACACGTTTGAGTTGGCAAACGGCACGCCGCCTCTCTCCAGCAGCAGAACACTGAAGTTCTGCGACAGCGTGGCCGCCAATGGGCACCCCGCCGTGCCGCCGCCCACTATAATGTAATCATAATCCCTGTTCCCGCCGCCACCCACGGCGGCGTTTGACGACGACGATGACGAGGAGGAAGCGGCGGCGGAGTACGAGCTGGCATATTTTATGAATGGGTATTTATCATTCCAGAAATAATTA